GGGGGGGGAACTGGTTTCCCCTCAGATCAGCTTGCTAAACCAACTCATCTCACAGCCACATAATTGCCAAGTTCGGTGCACAGAGGGAGTGGGGAACATGCAGAAAATTGTAGGGCCAGCTGGAGCGGGACCAACACTTTCAGCATGCAGGCACAGCTGGGGGGAATTGGGTGAAAAGCATAAACCCCTCACTGAGCTATTAGCTAAGCATTATTACGAATGCAGTTATGTATTTGCTTAAGTGTGGCAAGAGCTCGGAGATTTTTCAAATACTGTGGGTTTTGGTTTGGTTTTTTTGAGTGTTTGGTTTTTTTCTTAATACCCACAGAAGTCTTGCTAAATTCAGGTAAGACCCTTCTCGGAGAGTTGAGAGCTGGATTTCTGGCTAGCTTCAAAAAACATACTTTGCTTTTGTCCTGAACCGGGACAAAAAGAAGCATGTTGAACTTATTACAGAATGAGAAACATCTTAGATCAGTTTCTTAATTTTTAAAACAGCTGTTTGGAGTCAAGCTGATGGTCTTAATAGTCTGTCCAAACAATTTTCCCGGTTTTGATAATTTATGCACACCACAGCATCTGTTTTTACGTGAGTTTAGTCCGTCAGCACAATTTAAACAGTTTAAGAGTTTTAATGATGTTACCTTGACTCAGCCAGCTCTACCTTGATTTCAAACAAAAAAGGGGAACTCTTCCGTTCATCCCTCTTGGCTTTCTTTTACTCCATAAATAAAAAATGAGTTGAGTTTTTCTCTTGATGTCGTGCAGTAAAAGAACATGATAAAATCCCTTTCTGTACGTGTATTTCACCAAAGAAACTTTAGCAACCACATAGTTAGCTCTGTCCCTTGCGCTGCTGAGTGTAATAGTGAAGACATGTTTAACCCAAATCATTCGACAGTAGATTTTTACAGCGGTTGGCACGTAACTCCAAATTCGCTAATCATTTTGGGGCGAGCGCGGCAGGTTGCGCTTGGTCGCATTAGGGCAGATCCTGGGCTGCTTTCCACCGGGCCAGCAGCAGAGGAGAGCCTTGCTTGGGTGACACACAGGGCAGCACCCTGCTCGCGGCAGGGGTTGTGCTGAGAAGGGGCCGCTGGCAATCCCCAGCCTGCGTAATTGCCTTTTGGCACTTGTTAACGTGTCAGCACAAAGCAGAGCCGCCCAAGAATGGCCTCCAGCCGCTCCAGGGCAGTCCCACGCTACATAGAGGCGAGAAAGGCATAGGACCAAGGTCTAATAAAACCTGATTAGCGACAGAAATATTTTTATATGTGTACTTAGTTGATCAAAACAGTGTTTCATTAGCAGCAGTCACCGTAACGTTTGCTGCTTGATGAGACTGAAAGTTTTATGTACGGATTTAGTTTGGTTTTTAAGGTCAGAAGAGTGTTACTACATTCTCCAAGACTGCACAGGCTGTACTGTACCCATCCTGCGTTGTGCTTTATTTATGTGTCTTCAGAAAGGCATCTGACTTTTCTGTTTCGAGACATTTCGGAGTTAGGTGCATCCTCTAAGCAGGTCGCAAGTTAGCGTTACTCATTTCACGTACGAACATCATAAAAGAAATTTCACGGAGCTGAAAATTAGCCTTCGGGGTGTTTGTGTGTTCATTGTTTTTTCTTTTTTTTCCCCACCTTCTTCTGGAACAAACAGTCCCTGTCCCGAGTCTCCTTTCGGGGCAGAGGTTCAGCATTGACCCTATTAACAGATGCAGAATGCCTCCAGCCTGCCAGCATATGTATTACTTGTCTTGTCAGTGAGGGATGAAGTCATAGCAAGGTGTGGGTCCACGAGGTTGCGTTCCAAACTTCCTTGTGTAAAGGGGCCGTCGTCTTCCAGGGAGGCCCAGCTGCCACAGACAACTGGGGTGGCAAAGGGAGAGTGAGCCCTAACACAAATTCTCTGGGGGTGTCATCCCTCCTCCACGCCTTCCAGCGTACGGTATGGACGCAGACTGAGTAAGGGTCACAATCGGCAGCGGTAGGAGGTTGTTTGGTCAGGATGTATGGGTTTTAAGATGGCTTTTCCAGCACTCTTGCCTATACTGTTGAAGCAACTGATGTCTACCTCTGAACTCCTGGATGATTAGAAGTCGGTGTTTGCAGATCATGCCCGCATGCCTAGCTGGAGCTGCCTGCATCCGAGTCATTCTGCAAGTGTACCTGTAAGGCTGTTTCACTATGAATTCCCCACGGTTGGCTGGCAGCATTTATCCCTTGTTAAGTTCAGCACAGGCTGTGCAAATTGCGTGCGTTCACGAGGATGCAAATCAGGTGCCTTGCGCTCAGGTTGCTCCTCTTGCGTTCGCCTTGTTTGAGGGAGTTGCCGTTTCCACACCGTCTCTGGACGCGTTCGTGATCCGCTGTGTTCACAAGGTACATCCTGTATCTTTTTGTCCTTTAATAAGCTAAACGATTCTAGAAACCTCTTTCGCCTCTTGCTCCTGAGCGTGCCAGGGCAATGGTGCGCAGCGGCAGCCTAACATGTAACTAGGACTCCTTGGCATGGTGATGCTATAAATAGCACAGCATCCAAGGAGCAGAGTTACTCCTCCAGTGGAGCTGGTCCATGTCTGCTTTCTAGGGTGTTTGTTTTCTTTTAGTAGCTGTTGAGTTGTGCCATATCCTTGTCTTTCCATGGACTGTCTGATGTACAGCCAACTCAAATTAAAAGAAGAGCCAGTCTTGAGTTAAGAGCTTTTGTGGGTGGGTGTGACTTGACATAGAGACAACAATTGAGTTAATGACAACTGGAGTTAATTATCAATGAGGAAAAGCCCTAAATGCGTTCTTTAAATTTAGGGGAAAACTGTACTTGGCAAACTATTGCAGAGGACTAACCTTTTCCTAGCCAAATGGATGACAGCATGAAAACCATAGACTTGCCTTAAAGTGAGAAGCCCAGAGAATTGCCAAATTTCAGGCTGTTGATCAAGAGGGCATAAACAGGCTTTCCCTGGAGCTTGACATACGCTTAGGGTTCCTGTTCCGTTGTAATTGCGCTTGCTAATAGGCAATTAATTTTTAGGCTCTCCCCTGTACCCCACAACTACTTCAGCTCCGCTTGCCTCCGCAGTCTTTCCTTTGCCGTTTCCCCTTTCCGCCCGCGAGCGGCTGACCCCGCATTGGCTTTGCACTCGTCACAGTCTCCACGACACCCCCTGCACGCCTCCGCGCCGCGCCCGGGCTCGTCCCCACACCGGTCGCGCTCGCTTGCCACCCACGCACGCAGTCACCCTCTCCGCAGCTTCCCTTGCTGGCGGCTGCGCTCGT